GCTAAGCAGTGAAAATAAACTGATCTCAACTCTGGTTATTTTGGTTAATGAGCATAACTTTTGTCAAAATTATACACGTTCCTACTGATTTTAATATGCTTCTTGAGCAAAAGAGATTAAATATAATTTTTAATGAAAAACCACTCTAATATCATTAGGAAAATTTTTTTTTTTTTCAGTAAGCCATCACTCTGGTAAACTAATAATTTCATTTTGTCAAATTATTTTCCAATTCTATATTTTCTCATCATTACAAACGGCATGCACCATTTTGTATTTTTTCTAATTTCATTGAGTATCATTTTACCATGCCTCTACAGTCCTTAGAATCCATATATTATTGGCTGTTATCAATGATCGCTTTAAAATGATGTTCTAGTTTCCAGATGTTTGATTCTAAGGGACATTTTACTTAGGCATCTAAAGCTTTAAGGCCCCCAAAATTGAGCTCACGAATTCAACCCTTGAGGTACTATGATAAGTTAAAACAATTTCTTGAAGGTGAACATTTAGATTGTCCAGATTTTGTTCTCAGAGGTAACAGTGAAATAAATACTTTAGGGCATATATTATCTACTTTTAATTATTTTCTTATAATAGTTACTAGCAGAGTTATTGGATCAAAGGATGAAAATAGGCTTCTATATTTTTATTTTAATGGAAAGTTCTATAAATAGAAATTTACCTTTTTTTATCTTTCAATCACAGCTAGAGTATGCCCTTTTGCTGGACTCTTAGAAAACGGAGCTGTACGCTATACAACCTTTGAATATCCCAACATGATCAGCTTTGCTTGTAACCCTGGGTAAGGCCTTCCAGGTGACTGTGTAGCTAACACACACAGCACATTTCTGTACCTTTAATCTAAACATTCAGACTGGTCCTTTAGGTTGGATTTGTTGAATAGAAATCAATTTTTATCCTGCTCTGGTGGCATAGTGGTTAAAGCTTTCAACTGCTAATGAAAAGGTCAGCCACCAACCACTCCATGGAGAAAGATGAGGCAGTTTGCTTCTGTAAAGATTTACAGCCTTGGAAAGAAGGTAGGGCAGTTCTACTCTGTCCTATAGGGTCATTATGAGTAAGAATTAACTCAATGGTTGTTGGTTTTGCTTTTTTTAATTTTTTTAACATGTGCCACAGTGACATCAGGGGGAAAGTAATGGATAGTGAATAAAACAACTAGTGAAATATGAAGTTATCACCATATCTTATTTTTCTGCCCGTGATTGATTACTTACCTGAAGAGGAACATTGAAACTATTGTAACTGGATGCTAATTCTTTACCATCTCTGGGTCAAGTCTTTTTTTTAATTCAGAAGTATACATTTTTACTCATCTCTGAGAAATACATAATTAATACATCAAGGAAACAGTGGGATGAATAGACATTTTTAACATTATCATGAATTTCTATTAATAAAAGCCAGGCAGATGAAAATGTCTGATTTGAATACATCAGGAAAAAAAATGAATCACTTAGCCTATGAACTTACCTCTTGTGTTTTCTAGAAAAAGAAATCCAAATGCTTTTTTATGCAATCATGAATTAAAATTAGAATAAATTTACCCTTAATAGAAGTTTAGTTCTGGGCCAAATCTTGGCATTTGCTGTTGTGTGCCATGGAGTTGGTTCTAATGCATAGCGACCCTGTAGGACAGAGTAGAACTGCTCAATAGGGTTTCCTAGGTTGTAATCTTTATAGGAGCAGATCACTAGGTCTTTTCTACTGTAGCTAGTGGGTTTGAACTGCCAACCTTTCAGTTAGCAGCTAAACACTTAACCATAGCACCACCAGGGCTCCTTAAATCTTGGCATAAGGATTAGAATATTATAGGCTTAGGGCTAGGGTTTTAGTTATGAGGCATATTTAATTGGCTGACCTGGAAGAGAGAAGAGAATTCCATGGAGAAGTTGAGAAGTGGGATGACAGAAAGCATGGTACCTGTAGTCTTCCCACAATGCAGTTCAGCACCCTTAGCAAGGGAGCTCTTACAGTTGTTCACACATCTCATCTGCCTTATGGGAAGACATCACTCAGACATTGTCAGAAGAGCACACTGGCTGCACTGCACATTAGGGCAAATTTTTACTGAGGATCTTTGTTGAACAAATACTATGTGTGAAAGAGAAACATAGTCCTTTCATCCGAAACATCAATTTGTTGGTGTGTTTGATGGTAAAGGACCTTGACAAAGTTGCCTTCAAGGACAGAATATTACATGCTCAGTGGAGACAGACTGAGAAAGGTCTTCGGGGTAACAGCAATCTAAGATGGGAAAGAAGTCAATAGTACTACCATGAAGCAATGCTCAGTGGGGATGGCATGTGAGATGCCATTGATGGATTATTTTACTGCTTAATGGGCTACATTTTCCTTTTGCAGGTTTTATCTGAACGGAACTCGTTCTGCCCAATGCACCGAGGAAGGAAGATGGAGCCAGGAGCTTCCTGTCTGTGCTCGTGAGTCTGTGGGCCCTAAGGTTTAGCATTTCTAACAAGCTGAGTTATGAAGGAAGCTGAGCAACCCATCCCAATTAGTCTGGGATTTTCCTGGATTCAGTATTGAATGTGCCATGTCCCAGGAAACCCTTCAGTATCAGCCCAATGAGATGACACCACCATCTTGCTCTGGAGGATGAAAATGGTCACTTTGGGGTGATGGAAGGGAAGCATCTTACTTATGAACACATTTCACATCTTCCACCTGGTAGAGCCAGTGGTTGCTGTGTTTGTTAACGCCAACACTCCCACAGTGTTTGGCAGGGGAATGAGAATGGGTGTATCCCTCTCTCATGGTCTACCACCATTTGACTAGAAGTAGTTCTGGAAACAATGGGATGAAACCACCACCCTCCCTGGAACCTCATTCATTCACTCAATAAACACGTATTGAGAACCTACTATGTACCAGATCCTACTTTCAGCACTGAGACTTCAAGGCCAAAGGACACTTGGCCCCATCTTTAGGGAGCAAGTCTGGAGATGAGGAAGACAAGGAAAGCAGCCATCACAGTACACTCAGAGCCCATTTACAGCGCCTTGCAACCTTGAAGTGGTTGAGAGTCCTCCAAAAGGTAGTGATGACTTATTCAAGTGATGCTCAGACAGGTGATCAGGGTCAGTGCTGGGCTTTGCTAATATACAGAGAGGGACACTCTTATGCTCTCTAATGTATAATTGATACAAGCCCACTCTTTGACCAGGAGGCCTGGACTTTGCAACCAGATCTGTCCTAGCAAAAGCAAGTGGAAGAGTAAAGCAATTTTAAATGAATACGAGTTTAAGAAAACATGCACTACAAAGAAGCTTTTTAAAGAGAAATTGATTTTTTTCACTCAGCAGGTGGTATCACCATGGCTTTCATTAAATAGTTGCCCTTTTAAGCAGATTTATATCACATTTGTAAATCCACTTTTTATAAGTTATAAGTAGAAAGGTTATGTTAGCTTCAATCTAATCTAAATGAATACTTCTCATAATTTAACATAGATATGAATCACCTAGGGATCTTGTTAAAGTGTAGATTCTGATACTACACTATTAGTAGTGGGTCTGGGGTGAGGTCTGAGCTGTGTTTCTAACAAGCTCCCAAGCTGCTCATCCATGAACTACACTCTGAGTAGAGGGATCTAGATCATTCAAGATAAATCACATTTTGGCCTGCATTATCTTCCACTCTGTTAACATGATGTTGCCTGAGCTGCTTGAATTCTACATCAGGGTTTCAAGATGATGATCCACTATGGTGTCTTCGTGTCCTTGAAGATAGATGGATAAGCTCCACACATACGGTGTCCCAAAGCAGGAGGCACTCAACAGGAACAAGCAGGAGAACAAGCAGGAACTAGTAGGAGAATTTGATGTCATAAATGACTTTGCACTGAGTTGCTCTCACCAGCAATTATTGCATGATGGTGGCTCAACAATGTTCTCCAGAGATTCTAACTTCCAGAGACATTTTCCATTTGCAACATTTGAATCCAAGTCTTTCTGGAAACGTAACAATGGTGTTATATTTCACAAAGCAAATTAGTGGTGGCAAGACTTACATTTACTTCACTTTGGAGTTTTTTGTTTACTGCTTCAGATGTTTGATTTTGAGATCATACTTTCTTATCTGGCATCCATAATTGACAGTTTTCACCCTGGTATTAAATCAAAGTTTGCATTTTCTCAAGTTCATTTTTGATCCTTTTTATTTCTTTCTGAAAAGTATGTTTATAAAACTCCACTATTTTCCTATTGATGATAATTCTTCCTTTTTCCAGCTGTAACCTGTCCTCCACCACCTGTACCTAAATTCGCGAAGCTTAGCGTTTTTAAGCCATCAGCTGGAAACAACTCCTTCTATCGGGACACTGCAGTCTTTGAATGTTTGCCACAACATGCCATGTTTGGGAATGACACAATTACCTGCATGGCACATGGAAATTGGAGTGAACTACCAGAATGCAGGGGTAAGTGCAATGAGACAAAATAATTATATTAGTTTAGAACCCCATTTTGGAAAACGCTACTATTATGGAGTGTTTCAAGTTTCTTCATTCAACGAATGTTTATTGAGTATCTATCATGTACCAGGCAAAGTACTAGATGATGGGGACACAGATGAATGACACCAGGCTTCTCACCTGTATGATTCAATTCAATGCCTGGAGCTGCCTGGGAAAGTGTCACAGAAGTCGTGGCACTTGAACTTGGTTTGGGAGGAGGAGTGAGGCAAGCCAGAGAAGAGCACAGCATGGATGGGCCTAGCAGTCACTGGAAAGCCCAGTGATTTAGTGGTGTAATGGAGATTACAATATAACTATTCCATAACCACTGGACAACACTACCTATTTATTACTAATAGATCTTCTTGAATAAAATTTTTAGAAGTAAAGTGCCCATTTCCATCAAGACCAGACAATGGATTTGTGAACTATCCTGCAAAGCAAGCACTTTATTACAAGGATAAAGCCACATATGGTTGCCATGATACATTTGTTCTGGATGGCCCAACAGAAGTGGAATGTGGCAAATTGGGGAAATGGTCTGCTCAGCCAAGCTGTAAAGGTAGGGAAATTTGGGTGAGGTCTGACAATGTCTGCATTTACCCAATGGATCACTTTTACTTGCCATTTTCTTGTTAGAATGATTTTTTTACATGTTGCTTATGCTTGCTTCGTTGCTGTTGGCATGGGAGAGACTTTAGGATTTGCATGTGCATGGAGAAGCCTCACGCTTAGGAAGTTTGCTTGAAATTGAACTGATTTATGACGTAAACAGATCCTTTGTACGTAAGACAATATGGTAGAAGATTGCATAGGGTTTCCATAATTGTTCTTTGACTGCCTAGGAGTATCTTTTTTTCCTTTGTTCTATTCAAGGCTCTTCTTGTTGTAAAAAGCAATTGTACGTTTGAGCTAGTTCAAGGGTAATAAAAGTATTTTACAATACTGTAAAAATGCAACAGGCACTCACACAGACAATGAAGATGAGAAAATGAAGTAAAATGGCGCTCTTGGGCACTGGAACTGAAAGTCAGGAAATATTACTGGCCTCCCTGTATCTTAGTGGTATTCAGAGCCTCTCCATCTGCTGTGTCTCTTTACTTACTTTCCTTGAATATGACTTGACTCCATACTAGGCTATATCAGCTTAAGGATCCATCACTAACTGACATCTTTCGCCTGAGATTCTTCGTTTCCTTTTGAGTCAGATGCCCATCCTTGATCCAGTCAATGTTACGCTTATGCAAGGAACAGCAATCTGGGTCAACCACATTTCCGGTTTGGTTGCTGTGGCTGGTACGTTCAAGTAGAAAGAGGAATTTAGGCATAACAGGCAAGATGACAAATGACTAGTGTCTTTGGCTGGGGTCCCCAGAGGGAGAGCCCAAGACAGAGATTCAAGTACAGCTGATTTATGACATGATTACCACAGGTAAAAGAGAGTGGGGCAGATGACACAGACTAGGCATTGGTTCTCAAATGTTAGTGTCCATGAGAATCATCTAGAGGGCTTGTTCAAACACATGTGTCTGGACCATTTCCCCTTCCTTCTACTCCAATCCAGAGTTATTGATTAGACAGATCTGCACTGGAACCTGAGAATTTGCATTTCTAACAAGTTCCAAGGTGATACTGACGCTGCTGATCCAGGTACTACATTTTGAGAAACACTGGGATAGTGGTCTCAGTTAGAGTCTAGCTTCAGCCTCATCCCGCAGGGAGCACTGGAGCATGAATTGTACACCAGCATTGACCTCACCAAGAGACAAGGGGCTCTGTCTTTTGTTTTCCCTTGGCAGTCAGACATTGACTATGCTTTTACCCCAGGTTGGGTGGGGCTTGTATAATCTCCAGGGAGAGGTAGCTTCTTTATGACTGAAAGCTATTTTTCAGATTAGGGAACATTTGTGACCTGTTGGCATCAACACTCCCAGTGACTGGTGGATGGGTGCACCAGCTCAATAAGTGGGATGGGGGCGGGGCGGGGTGGTAGTGTAGGCTTGCATGACATGGTACTATCTACAAGTTCTTTTACAGAGTCCGGAAGTCTGGAGCTTCTGCTCTGACTTACTTAGGTGGCTACAGAAGAAAGAAAAGGCCATCTTGGAAGTGGTGACTCATGGTTATACTCACACAGAACTGCTATTAGCAATTGTGTGATATTGATCACACAGTGTGTCCATTCTTGGAATCTTCTTCTTGATCTGTTTGTTTCAGATACACTCATCCACTCGTTCAAATGCAATGCTCCTTTAAAGAAAGATTTACTCAACTCTTAAGTCTTGACTACATATATTCTGTCTTGCAGCATCTTGTAAATTATCTGTTAAAAAAGCCACTGTGCTTTTCCAAGGAGAGAAAGTAAAGCTCCAAGAAAGATTTAAGAATGGAATGCTGCATGGTGAAAAAGTTTCCTTTTTCTGCAAAAATAAGGAAAAGAAGTGTAGCTATACAGAGGATGCTCAGTGCATAGACGGCACCATTGAAATCCCCAAATGCTTCAAGGGTAAGTCTAACATTGCAGCTTTTAGCCAGGACTTCCATTTGCCCTTCACCATACTCGGCACTTTTTTTGTTGTATAATGGCAATAAGAAGCCATATGTATTTGACTTTAAAAAGGACAAAAGAGTGGGGGAAACAGCTGGATGAAGTGGTGGGAATCTCCAATTGCATAAACATTTTCCCTTCAGGTTCTTTTCCTTAAAACTCAGCGAATGTTACTGTGAATTATGCAATCTTGTGTAATTCCAAATTAAGCCTGAATAATAGTTGAGATTCTCACCACCTCTTGGTCCCAGATTATAAAGAACTCACCCCAAATTACAAAATGACTCATGGCCATGGAGAAGGATTTGTAGACCTTCTACCATTTTTTCCCTTCCTTCAGCAATCCTTAGAGATTAGAAATGTACCAGTTGCAGCCAAGTATTTGCTAGAGGAGCATATTACAAGGAAGACGTTATATTTGTGTAGAATAAAGGAAGTATATAATCACCATCATGTACAGCTGCCAACCTTCTAGGGTTTCAGAGTCCAGCTTTACATGCCTTTTCTGCTAGAAAGGAAGAACCAGAGAGTGGCTGAAGCTGTTGTTGGCTCTAGGCTTAGAAATGCTCCAAGAACACTAACAGCCCTGTATCTGCAGGCTGGGAGACAGAGAGTTGGGAACAGATGGAGATCACAGAGGGGGGCTGACCAGTGCCTTGCCAGAGGGAGAAAAGGAAATGATCGGTTAATCACACCGACCTCATAGGGTTGGCTTGATTATCAGAAATAAGGACATAGAGGAAGAGCCCAACCAATCATAGTTACTATTATCATTATAATTACAAATAGCTATAAATGCACAGAATAGATCATTATTCTTCAAAAGATAACAGAGTCCTGGAGAGATGTCTGATACTAAAATTGATAAAGTAGATAAAGTACAGTAAGCCTAGTACGAATCAGTTGAAAATAGGAGAATTAAGAAACTCCAAACCAGAGCCTTGTGGATGTATTCCTGATGGCTCTTCTCCCTGTCTTCACCCAGATGCAGCACTACGGATGCCTTGGAGAATAAATAAAGGCTGATAGAATGTTGTTGTTGTTTTTAATCCCAACTGTCACCATTATAAAACAAACAAACAAAAAACTCACTGCCGTTGAGTGGATTCTACTCATAGCTACCCCCCTTTGGGTTTCCAAGGCAGTATCTCTATGGAAGTAGTTTGTCCAATCTTCCTCCCAAGGAATGGCTGGTGGGTTTGAACTGCTAGCCATCTGGTTGGCAGTCAAATGCCTTAGACACTATGCCACCAGGGCTCCCTCACCATTATATAAACCAAAACCAACCAAACTCACTGCCATGGAGTCGGATCTGCCTCATAGCGACCCCTCCTTGGGTTTCCAAGGCAGTATCACTATGGAAGTAGATTGCCCAACCTTTCTGCCCAGGAGTGGCTGGTGGGTTTGAACTGCCAGCCTTCTGGTTAGCAGTCAAGTGCCTTAGGCACTACGCTACCAGAGCTCCATTACATAGAAGTCTTTATTTTCTTTCTTAGAAATAAGTGCTTCAACTTTTGCCTGATGTTTTCTTGTGTTACTTAAACCTCACACTAAATCTTTCAGTCCTATAATTAAATTTATTCTATGTATTTGTAAAATATGTTTGATTTGGCTTAGTTATTTAACTAATTTAAGAAATGACTATTTCTCTTAGAATGAATGCTTATCTGTTTCTCCCCCAACAGAGCACAGTTCTTTTGCTTTCTGGAAAACTGATGCCTCAGATGTAAAGCCATGTGAAAGTGATTCTTAGACTCAAAATTAAATGCCATGTTTGTATCCGTGTTTGTCCAAGGAAACTAATGAAAGTGGAAAAAATAAAGTTACGGGATTTATTGCTTCAGCTATTGCAGTGTTACTCCTCATGGTGGCTTACTTCAGTTATGTTACCTGGAAAAGGACTCAAATATTTGGAACATCATCATTTTATGGCTGTGAGATGGAAAGGGTAAACCATTATCTGGGTACCCAAGTCCCCCTCCTCTCCAATTCTACTTTCAGGTGCTTCCACCTAAAGCACCTGTGATGCAGTGGTTCTCACGGACTGGTGGTCCACATTAGCCTCACTTGGGTGCTTATTACAAAGGCAAAATGCTGGGTCAGAATTTCTAAGGATTGGCCACAAATCTACATCTATGACAAAGCCCCAGATAATTCTTGTGCATTTTCATATGTGAGCAGCATCACCATAAAGGAATGATCACAGCCATCCAGGCCAATAAAATGGATTTGAATCATTGATGTTTACAAATGCCTAAAAAAATCTTCCTTGTTGTTGTTAGGGGCTGTCAAGTTGCATTCTGACTCAGTGACCTGGTGTGACAAAGAACTGCCCCATGGGTTTCCTAGGCTGTAACCATTACAGCTATAATCTTTACAGGAATGGTTCCTCTCCTGGAGAGCTGCCGGGTGTGTTCAAACTGACAGCTCTGTGATTAGCACCCAAGCAGTTAAGGATTGCACCATGAGGGCCCCTAAATCTTTCCTTACCCTCCAACATTCCTTGATTCATTGTTGACACTGCTTCTTTGTATGTATTCAACTTCCTGGCCCTTCTCCTTCCCTAGGGCAGGTGACCTCTGTCCACTCTCTCTACCTCTGCACTCAAGTAGCTGACTGTTGCTGGAAAATAAAAACAAACAAAAGTTCACAATTATGTTGATGGGTCTCACTTTACATTCATGAGCTCATGAACGTACCCTCAGCTGGGTAGGACAATGCGATGCATTTCTCTAGTTTGTTCACTCTCCTTCTCAGCAAGGTGGCCATTTCATGCCTTTTCCTCTCTTCTCAGTTCTCCCCAACCTACCTTCCCTCTCCTCACTCTCAGCTGATGGCCCTGCACCTTATTTTACTGAGAAAATAGAAGCAAGAAAAAAAGACCATTTCCCTTTCCTTCTGCTTCCAATTCTGAAGATCCTTAGATGGCACAAACAGTTTGCATTTGCCTGCTAACCTAAAGGTTGGGAGCTTGGACCCACCCAATGGTACTATAGAAGAAAAGGCCTAGAAACTGTCTTCTGTTAAGATTATAGCCAAGAAACTCTATGGAGCAGTTCTATTCTGTAACACTTGGGGTTGCCATGAGTTGGAATCGACCGCCACTAACAGTAACAACGACTGATTCAATTATCTTATCAGCATCTGTAGCATGTAGGAGTTCCTGGGTGGGGCAAACAGTTAAGTGCTTGACTACTAGCTGAAAAGTCAGTGGTTTGAATCCATGCAGAGGCATGTCAGGACACAGGCCTGGCAATCTGCTTCTCAGAGGTCATAGCCTTGGAAATAAAAAATGTCCTCCCTTAGAACCTATACAATGGTGGCAGTAGTAGTAGTCCCACCAGTACCTCTCTAGCTTCAGGAGGGATAATGACCAGGATTAGCCCAAATTCCCATAAGGTGGAGGTCAGACGCAACTCTACTCTCCAACTTTTTTTTTACCAACTCTGAAAACAGCCATCCCTCCCACAGCACTCTACTTCTCTTCTGGGTTTGATCATCTACTGCAGTGGCCACACAGAACTCCCAGATCATAATACAGTTAAATGGTTTCTTAAGGAACAGGGTACAACTTGGGATCAGGATCAATAGGCTACAACTCAGAAATCAGGACGAGGAAGTGTGTAGGCAAAGTCTCCCTTCTCCAGTTGCAGGAAACCTCTCTGAGCTTCTCTCAGCTGGAGAGGCCTCCTCTTGGCCCGCCCGAGGACAGGCTCCTCTTGGCCCTGCCATCATCACTGACCCTGCCGCTGGGTCCCTGCTGGGCCTCTCATTCTCTTCAGTGTCAGTGGTTAGTCCTTGACCAGTGTTATAGCTCTTTTTTGGAGGCTCCTTGCCCCTCTCTTTTTCTTGCTGCTTCTTCCTGCTGCTTCTCTTCCTGTTTCTTCCTGTATGACCAGCCTCTGCGGAGTTGCCTTTATACATACACCCAACCTCCTTCTAAATTTCAAGGAATAATCCTCCCATTATGATCACGAACTGACCAATCTCCTCTAGGTAGGCTATAGACACTTCATTTGCATAGTAGGCATGGTTAGGCTACAACTCACCTAATTTGCATAGCCTAGTGACCAATCCTTGTAAGGTGCATACCAATCACAGGGGACATTACAGTCTAGGACCAGATAAAAAATATCAAAACCAAGTTGTTTACAACTTAACTCAAGAAATGTCAATCAACCTGGCAAAAGTAACAGACCCACTGAGGTAGCAAACTAGGGCAAAAGGGAAAAATCTCTCAAGCTGCTTTTCCAAAGAATGAAGGCAAAAGGCTACATAAAGGAACTCCTCTCACCACAGAACCACTGTCTTGTCACATATTATTTTCAAAACAGACCTCCCCCTAATCTAACTTAACAACTCTAGATATGGAAAGAGAGCAGGAAAAATTACAGAACACCTTTCCCTGACTCAGGCATAATGATTGTGTTTGCTCTAGAAAAAGGAAGAATATGTTCTTCTATTTTCCCTTCTTTTATTGAAAATTCTTTCATAATTAATCGTACTGATTTTAAAAATTATATATCTTCAACTTTTTAAATTGCTTACTTTTCCTTTTCCCACTTGGAATAGAATTGACAGGCCTGGCCATAGGTAGTAATGAAAGTGAGTAACAAAGACTCTGGCATTGGGGTGAGAGGTTATTTGGGGTCTCAGATTTAAGCTCTAGGCCTTCTGCTCAAGCCCTGAGCATTTCTCAATTAAAACTCTCAGGGTCAGGCTTTTCTCTGCTTTCACAGTTACCACGCCCTCCTCAGATCAAAAAAAGCCGTATTAACCTAGAATTTCTGAACTCTCGTCCCTGGTTTACCCCAGTGAAGGAAAATAGCCAGGAGAGGATTGGTCAGTTACACAGTGATCATTTGTGACCTGTCTCAGGGGTATAACCAGGACAGCATGGGTACCGACCAATCAGAATCCATGGCAGTGCTAAAGTACAGGTGGGAGGAGGGGTTGAGATCTCCCAAATCTGCCAGACATCACCCTTTAGGCTGCTAGATTGTGGAAAGTGGGGAAATGGGGTCAGGGGACAAGCCTGTGGCCAGGTGGTTGGCACTCAGAGGGCTCTGGCAACGGCTGTTTACCAACTGGTGGAGAAGTATTTCAATACTTCACACAAACAATCTTACTGGCGTGCCTCACACGTCTGTTTTCACAAAGGAGCTTAACAATCTTGAAAAGGAGCCCTGGTGGTGCACTGGTTAAGTGCTTGGCTGCTAACTGAAAGGCTGAGGGCTCAAACCCACCAGTGGCTCTGCAGGAGAAAGATGTGGCAGTCTGCTTCTGCAAAGAGTATACCCTTAGAAACCCTAAGGGGCAGTTCTACTCTGTCCTATAGGGTTGCTATGAGTTAATTGACTCAACGGTGTTGGAAGAACATATACGAACAATAATAAAATAAAACACACATACCAAAACAAAACAAAAACAAAAAGCGCATGGATATGGTATTTTTATGAAATCAAGTTAGAGAATTTTAGTAGGACAGAAACGCCTAGCACCTAGAATTATTTAGAGTTAATTATTTTAATTGGACTCTCTTTAGCTGTGAGACTTCACACATTGAATGTATGGTTTTAATTTTACAGAAAAAGAAAATATATGACTCAAATCATGTCGATGAATTCTGGCTTTTAGACGAATCCTTATTAGGAAGATTAGTGGGTCACTTAGTGGACATCTAGGCTTTGCTTCTGCAGAAGGCACAGAAGAGTCCACGAACGAATGTCTGTGGCACCAACACCGGATGACAATTAGTGGCCGCATTTCGGCTGGGGTCCTTTTCCAGGAGACGTTTCAGTTTCAGGTGATTGATCAGAAATTTAATAGTACACTGTATTCGGTGGTCATGGAAGAAAATAGGAATCTAAATATTTTTTAACGTATAAGGAAAAACTAACTGAAACAACCCACTTAGTAGTCAATAGATATTGAGCTTCATGGACACTTCTTGAGGAAGTCATACAGTGACAAGTGGCCCAAGTGTAAGTCATTGGCTCTACTGTGGATCCTTAAACTCACTCTTAAGTTCTACTGGACTTAGACTTGGTAAATTTGTGTTTCTTTATCCAGGTTCTTTTTGAACTGCTGACTCACTACTTTTCGGAACTTTTCCCCTCTTATATTATGTTCAATAGGAGCTCTGGTGGTGTAGTGCCTAAGGCACTTGACTGCTAACCAGAAGGCTGGCGGTTCAAACTCACCAGCCACTCCTCAGAAGGAAGGTTGGGCAATCTACTT